GCAGGCACTTAGTGGATCGGGATGGGGACCCCAGTAAACACTGTATGACACCAGTGGCGGTACCCACAGCAGAGAATGGCCCAGCCTAGCCTGCCAGCCAAGCTAAGACAGAGAAGCCCCGCCCTAAAACCAGCTTCTCCTGCTTTGAACATCATCCGGTGGCCATCGATTAGCGCCAAGAAACTGGGGCCAGTTTGATGGCTGAGAGGGCAAAGGTTCTTGCTGCCAAACCTGACACCCGAGTTCACTCCCCAGGACCTACATGGTGGAAGGAGAGAGATGACTCCCACAAGTTCCCCTCTGGTCTCCAGACATACACCATGTGGTACATGTGCTCACACAGGCAGGCATGCATTCAAGCGCATGAACATGAATATCAATCAATCAATCAAAATGTAAACCAAGAAACTAGCATGGCTACTGTACCGTTGCTGCTGGCTGTTCTAATCCCATCTTAGTCCACACCAACTGCTGTAACAAATCCCTAGAGGAACCGATAAACTCTTGCGATGTCTCGCTCACAGCTTCAGAAGATTCAAAGCCCAAGAGCAAGCAAGGGCTTGTGTGTAGTTGGTGACTTCTGTATACCCAGGAGAGGATGGACTCAGTAGGCTCCCTCGGGCACCTCAGATGACAGCCGTTCCTCAGTCCCTCTTCCCACCAACCCTTGTTCTACTTCAGGTTTGCAAAATTTTGAGTCTTTAGATCTTGATGTCTGTACACAGCTGACCTGGGTGGACCCACGTATTTCCCTCTGAAACTGGCTGGTCTCCCTGGTGTCTTCACAGGCTGAGTCATGTTGTCTCAGATGACAAGACTTAGTTGTTTCTAAGGTGAAGTACTCCATCACAGGTATGTCCACGCACTGTCTACCCAAGCTTGGTCCCTTACTCTATCACAGGTATCATGCTATCTACCCAAACATTGTCCATGGGGCAGTCAGCTGCTTCCACACACAGCATGGACACAATGAGGTTGTGCAGTGGTTTCCCCCAAGATCCTGGCTGGGGTCTTTTGGATATGTAGTCAGAAGTGAGCTCGCTGGATCATAGGTATTGCATTTTATGAAACTCACACAGGGAGGTGACAGCTCCTGTCGCTGTGATCCACGCTCGGTGAACATCTTTTCAGGTCTGCACTGGCCATCCTCTGTCCTTTTGGGGGGATGTTTATTCAAGCCCGTTGTCTGCTTTTTCATTTGTTCTGTCTTACAGGTCCTACTATGTAGCCTAGTCAGATAGCTGTCTGTTTACTTTGTGATCCCCCTGCCTCAGACTCCTGAGTATTGGGATTTCAGGTGGGCACCACCATCCCCACCTTTGTCCGTTTTCTATTGGGCTACTTATTGTTATTAAGTTATAGGCTACTTTATATATGAAGGAACTTAACCCCTTATCAGATATGTGTTGGGAAATACTTGCTTCAGTTCAAAGGTCTGTCCACCCTTGTGTTTGTCCTGTTTTTTCCTGGTTAGTTTATGTCAAAGCTTTTGACATAAGCTAGAGTCATCTGAAAGGAGGGAACCTCAACTGAAAAAAATATCTCCAAAAGATCCAGCTGTATGGGCTGGAGAGATGGCTCAGAGGTTAAGAGCATTGGCTGCTCTTCCAGAGGTCCTGAGTTCAATTCCCAGCAACCACATGGTGGCTCACAACCATCAATAGTGAGATCTGGTGCCCTCTTCTGACACACAGGCACACCGTATACAAAATAAATAAATAAATAAATAAATAAATATCCAACTGTAGAGCATTTTCTTAATTAGTGATTGGTTGGGGAGGGTCCCGGCCCCGTCCACTGTGGGTGGTGCCATCCCTGGGCTGGTGGTCCTGGATTCCAAAAAGAAAAGCAGGCTGGGTAAGCCATGGAGGGCAAGCCGGTAAGCAGCACTCCTCCATGGCCTCTGCATCAGCTCCTGCCTCCTGCCTTGCTTGAGTTCCTCTTCTGGTATCCTTCAATGATGAACCATAATGTGGAAGTGTAAGACAAACAAACCCTTCGCTCCCCAAGTTTCTTTGGTCGTGGTGTTTCACTGTAGCAACAGTCTCCCTAAGACACTGCTCATTCATTCTCTGCTGTAGCTGACCACTGTGCCTGCCTGCCTTCCATCCTTCCTTTTTAAATGCGTATTTGTTTGTTTGCTTGTTTGTTTTTGATGCAGGGTATCTAGCCCAGCCTAGCCTACAACTCCAAATATAGCCAAGGATGACCTTGAACGTCAGATCTTCCTGCCTCTTGCTCCCAAGGGCAGGGACTTACGGCGGCGTGCTCCACCACTGCTGGCTCCAACGGGGTTTAATGCTCTGATTTCTTCATCCCTCGTCCCTGGTGGCCACAAGGAAGTCATGAATTTTTGAAGGAAGCCCCTCCTCTGGTAAAGCCCCTTTGTAACATGACCTCTGCCACACCCTCCCCTTTCCGTGAGTTAGGTCTCTGGCTTTTACAACAACACATAGTCCTGGGGGAGGTGTCAGGACACAGAGCAGGGAGACCTTTTGGGTGGAGGGAGTCACCAAATCCTCTCTTGAGAGGACTCTCCTCCAGAACCAATGCCAGCTATCTGTATGTCAAGATTCATAGTGAAGCGCTGTACCACAGGGATGGCTCACCAGCTAAGACGACTTGCGGAGGACCCAAGTTGGATTCCCAGCACCTACATCGGTTGCAACTCCAGCTCCAGGGGATCCAACTGTAGCAGGAATCTTAAAAATTCTTATTAATAAAATCAAACCTGAGGCCAGTTATTGGGGTGAACTGGAAGATCAGAGAACCAGAACAAGCCACAGCTAACCTCACCTGGCCAACTTCTCAGCTGATCTTGTTTCCTCAGACTGGAAGCTTCTGTGTCCTCATATCCCAATGGCTCTCAGCTGAACTGTGCTGCTCAAAACCTAAAAGCTTAACCAGCCAAATGCTTCTAGTTTCTGGTCCTCATGCCTTATATACCCTTCTGCTTTCTACCATCACTCCCTGGGATTAAAGGTTCGCTTTCTGGATTAAAGGCGTGAGTCACCAAGCTTGGCTGTATCCTTGAACAGATGGATTTCTGCCTCTGGAATGCTAGGATTAAAGGCGTGTGCTACCACTGCCTATCCTCTATGTTTAATATTGTGGCTGTTCTGTCTCTGACCCCAGTTAAGTTTATTAGGGTGCACAATATTTCAGGGGAACACAATACCACCATATCCAACACCCTCTTCCTGCCTCTCTGGGCAGCTGCATGCATGTACACACAGACATATACATAAATTAAACATAAAAATAATTTTTTTCCTTAAAAAGAAAGGAGGAAGGCTGCAAAGGAAAATGAACAGGTGGGCATGTCTTTGGAGCCCCTAGGGGATGTCATGATCTCCTTTATATTGTACAAGTGTATGGGCCCAAAATAGAGGGAAGGAAACAGAGCAAAACTGTCACCCGTGACTCCACACTGGCCCTGCTTCCCTCCAAGGGAGTAGGGAGGACACTGCCTGCAGGTCCCCCAAAGCAAAAGGCAGCTCTCAGAGCAGCCCTGGACTGGCTAGGGCAATCAGAACCCAAGCACAGCACAGCCCGCTCCCTGGACAGCTCCAGCTCACTGCACTCCCAGGAGACTTCGCTTCAGCCTCCTTCCTACTCCATCTCCCTCACTGTCCAAGATGCCAAATGCTGCCAGCTGTCCTGGGGCAGGAGGGGTGTTTGGTCTGTTACCCCCGAATGTCACTGCAGAAGCTAACTTTGCTCTCCTCTGACTGACAGACTTCCCCCATCAGCCTCGGCTCTAGTGCCAGGCGTCAAAGACGTAGGGGCTCACCACCGCCTGGCTCCAAGCTCCGGCTTCAGTTGGTTTTGGAATCACAAGCTGCCGCTTGCACAGCCCAAGAAAGACATGGAAAATAATTGATTCACACACAGAATGCTTCAGTGGGATACTTCTACACTAAAATTGCACGCAGCCACAAAAGGAAAACAGATATATGCTGAGAACTATTTAAGGGAAAGGATTCCAGTTTGGGTCGGGGGGGGGGGGGGGGGAGAAGCAGGATACAATGTGATTTCAAGTTTGTAACAATAAACAAGGAGAATAAAAAGGCAGAAAGAGATCATCTTTCATTTTTAGGCAGGAAAAAATACATGTATAATTTGCTCTTCTATAGTTTCTGGTTTTTTCTCTATACAAATACGTATTCCTTGGATAATATGCAATTAAAAGTTTGTTTTAAAAATAAAGCATAGGGCTCTAGAAAGACAGCTCAGCAGTTAAGAGTACTGGCTGCTCCTCCAGAGGACCTGGGTTCAATTCCCAGCACTCATATCAGGTGGCTGACAACTGTCTGTAACTCCAGTTCCAAGGAATCTGATGCCTTCTTTAGACCTCCCTGGGAGCCAGGCATGCATGTGGTACACACACATACAAACAGGCAGGCAAAACACCCATACGCATAAAATCAAATAAATAAACCTTTAAAGGAGGGGGGATGCTTTAATGGCCCAAGCCCATTCCACACAGTAAGTGCAAGACCAGCTAGATGGGTTCTGCCCCACCCACTCGAACACTGAGAGAATCTTCCAGAAGCCTCCCAGCCCTGTAAGATGCATCCAGATCCAGGTGAATATTTTAGACCTGACACCAGATCTCAGTGGACAAAGGGGGCATGTCTGGTTGCCCCTATCCTCAGGGCATTTAGCACCTGCCTGTCCCACATGGAGTGTCTGGGCAAGGTCAACAGAACAGGGAAGTCTGAGCACCAACCAGAAAGGGACTGCTGGGTACCCACCCCCCCCCCCACACCTCCCCCAGCCTCAGCCTGGTACTGAGCCAAAGAACCCCAATACCCTGTGGGCTTCCCTTGCCTCCTCACTCAGAACATGCCAGGGGCAGGCAGCTGAGCAGGCAGGTGGGCAGCAGGCAAAGGCTGGACAGAGGCTGAGAGGAGCATTCACAGGCTCCTCCCCGCTGTGCTCACTTCCTAAGCACCCACAACTATAAGACAGGGATGTGATAACATGGGGTGGGAAGACGGAAAGTTCCAGCAGTGTGGTTTCTACAGCTGGGCATGGAGCTGGCCTGGCTAGAAACAGCTCAGGTCCTCCCAGCCCCCATTTCCCACAGGGCTATCTGTGTCATGGATGGAGACAGAGCAGGGTGAGTTCCCAACATCTCTCTGCCTTTTGTTTCTCAGGGACGCCTGTGCCCCGGGATACAGCCACCTTCCAGGCGCTTGCCTCCTCCCTTCCCAAGCTCATTGGCATTCCTCTTGCTCACAAACACCTGGAGCTTCTGAGATTGCGCTCAGGTCTAGAACTGGGGGAGTTTATCACAGTTAAGTCGGTGGAGGTAGAAGGGGGGGTGTGTGGAGGGGGAGGCGGCGGGGATCAGCAAAGATTAGTGAATTATTCACACCTCTCCATCAGGGCGCTGGCTCCCCTTCTACTCAAGAACACTCATCAACACCTTTCTATTTTTCCATCCATTTTGAAAGCAGGCAAGGGAGGGGGATAGCATAATGTTTAATTAAGAAATTAAGTCACTCCTTTCCTAAATATGCAGCTCAGGAAGGGGGAGGGGAGAGGCCAGCCAGCCCAAGAAAATGGTTTTTATCACCAGGAAAAAAAAAAAAAAATCCGATGCCCAAAATAGCCCCATGGTTGCCCTAGCAACTAGCATATGCTCCCCTCCCCCTCCCCCCTCCCGTCCGCCTTTGCATACGGCTGCATATTTCTATCGTCTCCCTCGCAGGCACAGTTCATAAACACGGAGGCATAATAAAGAACGTTATCGCCGATGACTTACGGCCCAGCTGCGCCCAGCCAGATAGCAAGTGGCGAGCCAATACAATTTCATGCAGCGAGGGCCACAGATAGATGGGGTGCCCTTCAAGTGAGATGCTACTTCTGTGAGTCAGTCCAGATTCGGAAATAAAGTTGGTCTTGCCCTCCTCCCCATCCGCCAGAGACAAAGCAGGCCTGGCTGATGCCCGGGAGTCTCATTAGGGCCGGAACAAGCTCGCCCTGAGCCCTGGATTAGCCTGCCAGACTTCTGAGCTCCGCTCTGCCGGCACCTCCCGCCTCTGCCTTGTCAAAGGGCCCAGCCTGGGATGGATGAGGGTCTGTTTGAATTAATTACCCTCTCTTCAGGAGGATTACTTGTGGGGGTGTCCTCATGGCTGGGTGGGGGTTGGGGCAGACGCCACACACCCAGCCAGGCTCCTCTAGCTGGGGGAGGTGTTAATTGTGGGGTTAGCTCTCTTTCTCTGCTTTCTTCAATAGCTAATGCCAGGGTCCTCGAGAGCCATTCTGTCCAGGGAGGTTTCTCTGAATTGGGGACAGTTGTCCCCTTGACTTGCAAAACCCCTTCATAAAACTGCTTCCCTGGTCCTTGGTCCAGACCAGGCCAGAGGTTTGGTGTACAATTAAATAAAGCTTAGTCTGAGCATGGTGCATGGCAAAGGAAGGAACTGGTCCAGAAGAGGAAAGAGTCCAGGTTGCAGGGCTCCTGGGCGCTTCTGGGACCAGAACAAAGAGTGATTCAGCCACCCTTACAGGAGCCTGCTGAACTAACCAGCACCCCACCCTCCTTCCAGTTCACACGCACAGGGATATCAGCTCACCGGATCCCTCTACCACAGCTCTAGAGGGGTCACTTCCAAGCCACTCCACAGCCAAGCTAGACAACTGGAATGGGGTCTATCTGTGACTATTCTCTGACTCCAGGGGCAGAGAACCAGGTTAGGGAGTATTTGCGTCGGGGCTGGGGGTGGGGGTAGAAAGGACTGGAATCAGGGGAGTCTGAAGCTAGGGACAATGTGGGGCTGGGACTGCTGGGCAGCAGGTAGGTCAGGGTGGCAGGTTTGGTCAGCATTACCCTCTGGGCTTGGGTAACATGAAGCCCTGATAAGGGTGGGGTGCAGTAGCAGGGTCCTCGGGACCAGTCCGCAGTGGAATTAAACCAGCCAGGGAGCTCTGAGCTGAGTCCTTCCATCTGTCCGGGACAATAGAGCTGGAGAAGGCACCAGCTAACCCGGAAGGCCCAAGGCTGCAGGTATAGCAGCCTCCTTTTTCCCTCTGTAGGTCACATGCAAAGCCAACCTAAGGGGCTGTGCCTGCTGGGGGAAGAGCCAGACAAAGCCTGTCGGCTCACAGACGGAAAACTGGGCAGAAGTGAGACCCGTGAGCCTCCCACACACCAGGCTTCCTGGAGTCCCCTCTGACCGGGCTGTCAGCAGCTGGACTTGTACCACTCACAATATCACTTCTGGGTGGCAGGGCCTCACCCAAGCACTCTTTGGCTCACCTTCAGGGCCCTGCCCCAGGTCCTGTGGAGTTTCAGATGCACACATGTATCTAGAGGCTAAAATAGCATGACATAAGACCAACCATTTTAGCCAGGTCAGGTGGTGCATGCCTTTAATCTCAGCACTTGGGAGGTAGAGGCAGGCAGGTTTCCAAGAGTTCGAGGCCAGCCAGGGCTACATAGCAAGACCCTGTCTCAAAACAATTTTTTTGAAAGTGGTAATTCAATGCCATTTAGCTCAGTCAAAATGTTGGGCAACCAGCACCTCTATCTTGTTCTGGAACTTTCTTTTCTTGGTGCTGAGGACAGAACTCAAGACATTTGTTACACGAGGCATGCTCTCTCCCATGGAGCTATACTCCCAGGCCTCTGAACCTTCTTCATCTCCATAAAGAGAAACTGCCAGAGTTGGGATGCTCTGTCCCTCAGAGGTCCATATGTGTGAACGCCTTGGTCCCCAGGGTGACATCCTTGTGGACCTGAGCCTTGTGGGAAGTCACTTGGTCACAGAATGTTCTAGAGGTCCATTTCCTGATGAGGTAGACTCATGGCTTTCAGGCCTCTGTTGAGGATTCCAGGGAGAATGGTGGGAGCCTGTGATGGAACAAAGTGCTTATCCCATGGCTGGAAGCGCAGGGGAAGAGAGTCCCGGGTCCCATGGTCCTCTTTGGGGCATGCCCTTCATGACCTCCACAAAATTACAGCTCTCCCGCCCATCGTCCCCACCCCCTACCCCCCCACCCCCCACCCCGCTCTCCTAAATGCAGAGAAGAGGCTGGCCACGAAGGCCAAAGGGTTTGCAGAACCACTCAGCCAAACCTGCTGCTGCTCCAGGGCAGGATTAAGAGAGAGGACCAGAGGACACCTCGCCCCTGACCCACCCCCACCCACCTGTTTCTTCCATGTGAAAGAAAAGGTCATTCTGGACTCAATGGGGTGCACCTGCAACCCTAGCACTTAGGACTGGAGGCAGGAGGATTGCTGTGAGTTTGATGCCAGCTTGGGCTATATAGTAAGTGCCAGGCTAGCTTGAGCTACATAGCAAGACTCTGTCTCAAAACAAAACACCAAAAATGAAAAAAAGGGGAAAAAAAGCCAATTGGGGAGAGGTTGGTCTCATTTTCTTCCCGTGGCAAAGGAAGGTTGTAACCCCGTGTTCTCACTCAGAACATAGCAGAACAAGATTAACCGAGCACTCTGCAGACAGCAAGGGTCTTTGTAGGACAGAAAATTCACAATTATTTCTCCTGCCCCTGGAAACCATCACCCGACGGCATAACCTTCACAGGCATCCACCACTTGGGTCCCATAATCTATGGGACCATTAAGTGGAAGGAAATGGTGCTGAGAAATGGCACAAGACTCCACCGTCTCTGTCCCATGTACTTTCCCTGCTCTTCTCTGTCATCTTAAGCCAAACACCTGCTTCCTCTCTGTCATCCTCCAAGGTGATGAACAGCCCTGCCCAGCAGCTTCCAGTGCCTCATCGGTCTGCTGAGCCTCGAGGTCGGCCAGCCTTTGTGCCTTTGTTCTGAAAAAGAGGCTGTGAGGACAGGGGTCCTCTCCGTCCATCTCCAGTGAAGGTGAAACAGACCAGATTCTGTGCAGCACTGTGTCAGACTAAAGGGTGAGGGACTGTGGTTCCAGGGGAGAAAGTTAGGGTGGGACGTACCGCGGATATCCAGCTATCTCCCTGAACTGGGCTGTGTATGAAAACAGGCACCATTCCAGACAGCCATCTCTCCTCTGCTAAAACGGAATCCTCTCACTCCGGGGTCCCAGAGCTTTGTGCTCTCTTGGCATGTCCTTTCCTAACACACTTCATGCAGTGAAGACCCTGCCCTATGATGCCTTGGCTGCCTTGATGAGGGAGGAGCATGGGGCCCTGAGTATGGGGAATAAGAAGGGCCCACTGCACATCCAGGGCTGTGGTGAGTGCAGAGGGGAGGGGATGGCAGTATGGCTCCTGGACTCCCGGGGGTGACCGCTATTTATTTATTTGTGTGTTTGTTTATTTATTTATTTATTTATTTATTTATTTATTTATTAGCTGCTTCCCTGCGTGTTCTGATTTCACCTCGGCAGACCACAGCAAATCTGTTGCCTTGATAAAACGTCAGATCATATCAACTCTAGGAGGAAAGATCTTAGCTTGCTCACACTTGAAGGCTACCGTCGGGGTGGGAGAGTCACAGCTGGCGCCAGCAGCATGAGACAGCTCGTCATGCCACATCTGAAGCCAGGGAGCAGAGAGGGATGAATTCAGGTGCTGTGGAATAATCCTCTTGTACACTGTAAAGATTTGTCATTTGAATTGGTTTAATAAAACGCTGATTGGCCATTATCCATACTTATAGGAAGTATAAGCAGGGCAACCAAACTAAGGATGATGGGAAGGAGAGGGGCAGAGTTAGGAGTCACCAGCCACATGCAGAGGGAGCAGGAGATGAACATGCCTTACTAACAAAGGTACTGCCACATGGCAGAGCATAAATAGAAATATGGGTTAAATGTAAGAGTCAGCTAGTAACAAGCCTGAGCTATTGGCTGATCATTTATAAGTAATATTAAGCCTCTGAATGGTTATTTGGGAACTGACAGGTGGGAGAGAAACATCCATTTGCACTCAGGTGCTTGGTTCACACTCCTTTTTATGCATTTCTAGTCTCTAGCTCAAGGGATGACATCAACAATGCTCAGGACCCAGGGAGTAGGGGGACAGGGGTCTCCCAAACTTAATTAAGCCAATATAGAAACTTCCTCACAAGCATGCCCCAAACTTGCCCAGAGTTTTGTCTCCTAAGTGCTTCTTGATTCTGCCAAGTTGGCAGGCAATGTTACCCTCCAGAGAGACTAAAAAGGAAGAAGGCTGGAACTGAAGGGGAAGATCAGGATCACAGCTGTGCACACCTCCATCGCAGGGTTGGGTTGCCCGGTCATGGGTGTGGCAAGTCCAGCCCCAAGGACCTCATCCCTCCTCTACTTAAGACCCACGGCATCTAGAAGACCAATAGCACCCCCATCTCTACTGTGTGGACAAGGACGCTGAGCCCCTGTCGTGCAAATCACAAGTGGCTGTGTAGTGACTTGAACCCAGCACTCCAGGACTGGATTGTTGTGAGCCTTTGTACTTTTGTGGTTTTCAGAGTGAGGTGAGGAAACGTGGAAGAAAGAATGAAAGAACAAGGTCGCTGCCCAAGGAAGCAGTCCCCTTGTATGGTGTAAGCACAGCACCCTACAGTGTCTGCAAGTATTGTCACTAGAGAACCAGAGAAGGGAAGACTAGCTAGGGCACAGGTCACTCTCCATCAGGGTGACAGGAAGGTCTCCTGAAGGTGTGGCATCTGCAGAGGGCTGTTGAGAACATCTAGAATGACCATAAATCTAAAAGCAGGATCAAGGACGCAGCTGAAGCAAGCCAGGGATGGAGGCTGCCTGCCGAGGGGTAGCTGGCATTTTCAGCTCCCACATAAAGACACAGAGACTTACTATTAATTATGAATGCTCGGCCTTGACTTAGGCTTGTCCCACTAGCTCTTATAACCTAATTTAACCTGTTTCTATTCATCTGCATTTTGCCTCAAGGCTTTTTACCTTCCTTTCATTCTGTATGTCCTACTTTCCTGCTTCCTCTGTGTCTGTCTGTCTGGCCCCTGGCACCTCTCTGTCATCTCCTTTTCTCCCTTCCTTGAGCCTAAATCCTCCTACTTACTGCCCTTCCTGGAAGTTCTGCCTATACCTCCTCCCTCAATATTGGATATTGGCCAGTCAGCTTTTTATTAGACCAATCAGGAACTTCAGACAGGGGAAGAAAAACAGCAGCACATCTTTGCATAGTTAAACAAGCAGCACATCTTTGCAGTTAAATATTCTGCAACCCTGAGGGACTGCAGGGCGCTTAGAAGGGACGGTGTAATGATTGAATGAGGTGCCCACAGGCTTGGGCATTTGAACACTTGGTCTCTAGTTGGTGGTGCTGTTGGGAGGTTTAGGAGGTGTGGCCTAGCTGGAGGAAGTGCGTCATTGGAGGCAGGTTTTAGGAGCATGTAGCCGCTCCCCATTTCATGTTTACAGTTGAGACATGATCTCTCAGCTTCCTGCTGCTGCCACTATGCCTGCCAGCTGCCTTGCCTCCCGCCATAATGGACTCTCATCCCTCTGGAACCATAAGCCCAAATAAACTCCTACTTCTGTGAGCCGCCTTTGGTCACGGTGTTTTATCACAGCAACAGAAAAGTAACTAGTCCAAGTGGGAACAGAGATCAACAAGGAAAAGAGGCCTCAGCAAGGGTGGGGGACAGCTCTCCCCACTCTCTAAGCATGTATCTAGGGGTGGGTAGGCGGTTAGAAGGGCCCTGGAGAAAGCATCAGCTCTCTCCCAGAAGGAAATCTCTCTGTGGCAAGAAATAGGAAGCGTGGGGCTGAAGTTAGCTGCAGAGTCAGGGCCACTCTCTTCTACCCAGTGAGCCCCAGAATGTCTGTGCTGATCCTGGGCCAGGCGACCTCCACAGAGCCACCTGCTAGGCACGACGTCAAGCTCCAGCTGCCTGGCCAGATGTTCTGTTAGCACCCTCTTCTGCCCCTGATGCTTTTGTCTGTCTGTTTACTTATTTTATATGTACATGAGTTTATATATTTCTGTGTGAACCATGTGCATGCCTGGTGCCTATGGAAGCCAGAAGACAGTATCAGAGCCCCTGGAAATGGAGTTATGGACAGTTGTGAGCCACCATTTGTGTGCTGGGACTCAAACCCAGGTCCTTTGCAAGAATAAATATTCCTTTTTGTTTGTTTGTTTGTTTTTTTGAGACAGGGTTTCTTTGTGTAACAGTTCTGACTGTCAACTCACCGAGATCCACCTGCCTCTGCCTCCTAAGTGCTAGGATTAAAGGCATGTGCTGCCGCCCACCGCCACCGCCATCTCTCTTTTCTTTTCTTTTCCTTCCTTCCTTCCTTCCTTCCTTCCTTCCTTCCTTCCTTCCTTCCTCCCTTCCTTCCTTCTTTCCTTCCTTCCTTTTTTTCTTGTTTCTGAGACAGGGTCCCATATATCCTGGGCTGGCCTTGAACTCATTATGTAGCCAACAATGACCTTGAACTCCTAATCCTCCTGCCTCCATTCCCCCTAAATTCTGGGATTATATGTGTGTAGCATCATGCCAGGCTACCCCTGAGGAATTTCTTACAAACACAGGTACCCAGACCTGCCCTTCCACTAATCAACTCAAGTCCCCAGGGCTGAGCACAGGCTGTCCCAGAGCCACAATAGGAAGTGTGAACTCAGGCCACCATGTCCAAACTGTTAGATCTCAGAAGGACAATGTCACCAGCTGCTGACTGGATGCTACGCAGAGGGACATGTGACTTAGGTGTTCCCAAGGAGCCAGGGTTTCCCAGACGCCCAGTCCTCACCAATTATCATCTTCATGTCCTGGGGAGGTCACTGGTCACTTTCAGGGGCTTTGTCCAGGTGCCTCACTAGGAGCTGTGTGTAAAACACTGGGAAAGAACAATTGTCAACTCCCACACAAACAGCTAGAGGAGAGGCAATGTTCAACCCCTGAGACCCTGTAAATCTTGATAGATTTTATGAATCTCACTTACATTTCTGCCCTGACTTGTGCATAAAACTTGTGGAGATTTACACAAGCCAGCCACGTGTCACCCCTTCCCAAACGGCTCTATGTCTTGGTGACCTTTCAGAAGCCAACGGCAGCTTTCCTGTTGTCACCCATAATTGGAAAAGCATCAGAGATAAGAAAATTTATGGTAATAATGATCTACCTGAGCAAGGCCATAAAGAACATCGGGTGTCCGAGGGGGCGGAGGGAGGCACGCACCTGTTTATCACACGTTATCTCCATCCTCCAGGGTCTGCAGCAGCCATTGCTCCTGCCGGGACCCCAGACCCAAGACTGTGGCTCACACACACACGGCTGACCCGGGCATGGATGCTTCTGGCTTCATCTGGGTCTGAGAGAAGTTTTATCCTCTGTGAATAAAGGTCAAGGTCTCGGGGCCTGCCCTCCCCCGCCCAAGGTGCTCCACACTTCTACCTTGATTTACACGCAGTGAGTTAAAGATAAAAGCGGGTTGAGGAGAGAGATGAGGGCAGGGTGGGGGAGCTCTTCCCCGGCCCCGGTGAGTCCTGTTGTGACATTCTGTCCTCGTACAGGATGCTGCGCAGTAGGGCTGGGGAAACCCAACTTCGTAATGTTTATATCTTGTTGGAT